TGAGTTATATAAGCAAAAAGAAGTCTGAGGGACAAGATCAGGGCTGTAAGATGAATAAGGTAAGGCTACCCATGAAATTCTCACAGAACAACAAAATACCCTCAAAGAATGGGTAGGTATATTGTCATGATGTCATTCCTTGGCACAACTTTCCTGCACTTTTTATCACCAAGGCAGTTTTCAATTTTCTTAAAACTTCTTCATAATTAGCCCCTGTAATCTTCCTGTGTCCTTGGAGGAAATCAAGGGTCTCAAGAGTACCCTTTAGGAACCCCCTCAAAAAAAGTTGCTAAAACCTTCTGAGCTGACCTCTCATCTCTGCCTTCAAAGTTACTGACTCAGCAAATAGATTCCCTCAAAAGGCCATTGTTTTGATTGGACCTTGTTTGTTTTTAAGGCACCCTAACAAGATGAAGACATGTGTATTACTGAGATCACTTGTCTGCAGCCACCCACTGATGGAGAAACACGTTTTGTTTGTAATAAACCCATGCATGTATAAACTGGAACCCTAGTAGCAATACTTTGGCCTTACTCTTGTATAAATCAGTTCCCTCCTTTGTGTGATCTCTCTCTATCCTCAAACAGACCTTGTATGTTGTCATCAGAGACAGTTGTTGTTTGGTGTTCTGACTCATAGGGGCCACAAGTGTAACAAAAGGCGACATTGACTGCCCATTCCGGCACCACCCTCACAATATGTGTGAGTCCATTGTTGCAACCACTGTGTGGATCCATGTCCTTGAGGAGCTTCCTGTTTCACCATCCCTCTGCTTCACCAAGCATGATATCTGTCTCCAGGGATGATCCCACCTGAGACCATGCTTCTAAGCAGCAGTCTGGCTGTACTTCTTCCAAAACAGATTTGTTCAGTTTTCTGGCAGTCCATTGTATATCCTCTGTTATTCTTCACCAAAACCGTAATTCAAATGTATCAGTTTTTCTTTGGTCTTCTTTTTTCATTGTTCAGATTTCACATGCTTATTAGGCAATTGAAAATTACCATAGCTTGGGTACACCTTAGTCATCAAGGTGGCATCTTTGCTCTTTAGGACTTTAAAGGCATTTTCTGCAGCAGATTTGCCTACTGTGATGCGTTGTTTGGTTTCGTGACTGCTACTTCCATGAGTCATGATTATTGATTTAATTAAGATGAAATCCTTGACAACTTTAATATTTTTTCTGTTTATCATGATGTTACATATTGGTCCAGTAATTTGGATTTTTGTTTTATAATGAGGTATAATCAATACCGAAGGCTGTAGATAGTTGGTATGTAACTTTTTCTCCCTTTTTCTTCATATATTTCACTGCATATACATTTTCTCTCTCATTGTTTTACTTTGATAAAATATAAATAACAGAACATTTACCATTGTAACCATTTTTAAGTGTATAACCTGTCCCCGTTTTTCCATATTTATCTTTTTTCATGGTGGCATTGTTTTCCATGGGAGCATGATGGCTCCATGCAATAAGCACTAAACTGATCCACAAGGTCGGCAGTTCAAGCCCTACACACACTTTGTGAGAGAAAGAGGAGGCTTACTTCTCCTATGAGGGTTTAAAGCATTGGAAACCCTATACAGGGTCTATGAGTCAGAATCAACTTGACAGCACTTAACATGGTTTTCCATTGGAAAAATACACCATAACAATTTACTTAATCATCTGTTAAGAAAAGATTCCATTGTTTTTTGTTTTTAATTATGCACACGGGGCTTTCTTCGTCTTGTAAGTTATTACTGTAGATAAAATTCTCCATAGTGTCATTGGTGGTTGGTGGTTATGTGCCATAAAGTCGGTTCCGAATCATAGTGAGCCTGTATAGGACTTCTGAGGCTATAAATCTTTATGGGAGCACAAAGCCTTATCTTTCACCCATGGAACTACTGGTAGATTCAGACTTCTGACCTTGCAGCTCGTAATCCACTACTCTACCAGTGTCGTTAGTGGGTTATAAATTAGGCATATCTTTCTGGCTAAGTGGTTGCCACATTCCCCTACAGAAGGCTGAACCTGTGGTCACTGTGTCCCTGTATGTACTAGTAAAGATTTTGCTAGATTAATAGGTGTCGAGTGGTCATTATGAGTCAGAACTGACTCAACGGCACTTAACAACAACAGTCCTGGTGTGGCACTGCAAAATAAGCACTGAACCTTATGCTTGGTTTGAACCACAAAGTTGGGCAGTTCAAACTCACCAGCCACTCCTCGGAAACCCTATACAGGGTTGCTATGAGTTGGAACTGACTCTACAGTAATTTACAACAACAACAGTTAAGAGTCTGAACTCCTAGTGTGGTAATAAGACTGGACTGTAAACCACAAGGTTGGCAGTTCAAACCCACCAACTGCTCCTCAGAAACCCTGTACAGGATTGCTATGAGTTGGAATCAACTCAACAGCACTGAACAACAAGAGTTAGGGTTTATTAGAGTTGTATCAGAAGCAAGGTGTGGGGTTCTCATTCTGAAAAATCAGTCTCTGAAAACGCTACGAAGCCTAATTTCACTCTGACATACATCGGGTCACCACGAGTTAGTATCAACTTGATAACAATTGAAAAAATATAATGGTATCTCAGAGGTTTCCATTGATTCTTCTTTTATTAGTAGTAAGGAAAATCTTTTCTAATGTGTTTGCTAGTCTACTAGTGGGATTTCTTTTTGACCACTATTAGATTAGCAGATCATCCGTTTTACATCCAACAATGCATCCATATCTTTTTCAATCTCATTGCCAGCAATCCCTTCATTGCAGCATCACTTAGCCCATCTGTCTAGCTATCTAGCTAGTGTTGCTATAACCGGAACACCACAAGTGGATGGATTTAACAAATAAATTGATCCTCTCACAAGTCTGAATCCAGAGCACCAGCTATGGAAAAGTCTCCTTTCAGCAGCTGTAGGCCTAACGTTCCTTGGAGCTCTCCATGTGTCTTGGATCAGTCTTTCCTTGGATCTAGGAGCTTCACAGTGCAGGGACCCCAGGCCGAAAAGGCTCGCTCCACATTTTCTTTCTTGGTGGTAGTCTTGTTGTTAAGTGCCGTTGAGTCAGTTCTGACTCACAGTACCCCTGTATAGGGTTTCCAAGGAGTGCCTGGTGGGTTTGAACCACCAACCTTGTGGTAACCTTGTGGTAAGCAATCCCGTAGTTATCCTACAGCACCACACCAAGACTACCCTCTTTTTCTGCTCACTTCTCTCTCCTTGTCTATCTCAAAAGAGACTGACTCAATAGACAACTTAATCCTGTAGATTGCATCTGCCTCATCAACATCATAGAAGTGAGGATCTAAGACACAGGACAATTATAGCAGATGAGGGCTCCTCACATCGCATCACATCATGGGAGGGGATTACATTATGTAAGATCTCTTCATGGGCACGGACTACCTCTTAACTGACAAATTACTCAGAATCCAGGCCCAGCCAAGTTGATACAAAACCTTAACTATTCCCGATCCTCCCTGTGATTCTTGTTTCCATTCCGCAGCTAATCTTTCTGAACTTAATCCTTGGATAAATGCTGCCCTTTTTAATCTCAATTGGTTGGTTATTCTAATATGTGCTTTATCTCCCTACTGTTTTTGGTCCCTCCATGGACCCACTGTCAGGCTCAAAATTGAACCATGAGGGAGAGTTCAGTTCCAGACCTGAAAGGTGACTAAGAGCCATAGCGATGGGGGTTCCACCAGTCTCTGTTCAACCAATAGACCTAGTCTCTTGTATGGTTTGAGTTTTGTTGTGTGTTTTCCTCCCACTCTATCCAGGAACTCCTAATGTGATCCCTGTAAGAGCAGTTGGCAGTGGTAGCATGGTACCATCTAGTTCTGGCATCAGAGTGGTGGAGACTGACATTCACGTGGTCCTTCAGTCCAGTGGATTGTTTTCATGTGATGGTTACTCATGAGATTTTACGACCCTAATCACTACTTGCCAGTGTAGAATATAGAACATTGTTTTTGTGGACTATGTTATGCCAATTGGTGTCCCCTGAGACCATGATCCTGAATCCCCAGGTCCCAAAACTCATTCTCTTAGGTGTTTGGTTATGTCTAAGAAGTTTTCATAACTTTGCCTCCTGTATGCTGTACCACATTCAAGGATATATTTGCAGTGAAGGTAAGTACACATGTAGAAATATCCTCTGTCAAACCCATATATATTTGTGGGTATACTTGCTGTTGTGAATTGCCGTGGAGTTGGTTCCAACCCATAGAGATCTTGCATAGGGTTTCCAAGGAACCACCACCAACCTTGTGGATCAAACCGACTTTGCAGTTGGCACATTAACCCACAATGCCTCACCAGGACTCCGTGGGTATACTTGTTGCTGTTGTCTTTGAGTCCATTCTGACCCATAGCAACCCTGGTGAACTTGAACCACCAACCTTGCAGTTCAAACCCACAGCGGCACACCAGGACTCCATTGATACACTAGTGGTATAAAGAAATACCACTAGTGGGTATACTAGTGGCATTTATTTAGGTTTAGGTGTTAAGCATCTCTGTGGATATTGACTTGTGAACTTGTATTGATTAAAAATTTCTAATAGAATCAATTGACCATCTTCACTGTGTATTTTCTGCATTCCTCTGAATTCCTTTTCATTTTAGTTTTAACCCATTGTCCTCTTCAGGAGGCTTTTTTTATGTATATTTCAAATCCCATGATCTTCCCCAGGCTCCCAGGTAGTGTAGTGGATTACAAGATGCACTGCTAACTCTAAGGTCAGCAGTTCAAATCTACCAGTCACCCCTTGGGAGAAAGATGAGGTTTTCTGTTCCCGTAAAGATTTACAACCTCGGGAACCCTATACAGGGTCACTATGAGTTGGACTGACTGATGGCACCATACCACCACTCTGCCCCAGTCATTAAGAACATGTAACAGGTAGAAGAAGCAAGTGGTGATTTCTTCACCCCATTTCCCAGTCTCTTCTGTACAGCCAGGGGCTGCATGGCTCTGTCTTACACCCTTCTGTTCTCACCCAGGTCTGCCATGTGAACTTGGAGGGGCAACCGTTCTACTCCAAGAAGGACAAGCCCCTGTGCAAAAAGCATGCGCACGCCGTCAACGTGTAGGCCTGGGGCATCTGGTGCCGACAAGGCCTGGGAGCTGCTCCTGCTACTGGCAACAAAGAATTCCTGGAGGATGATGTTTCTTTTGGGGGGAAAGGAGGAAGGCAGGAAGCAATTGAGCCCTTTTGAAGTATAATTTTAATCCTCTCTTCTGTACACAGATCGTGTATTTACATAGTTCACACTAGAAGCCAAATGAAGATTCTAAACTCAGCTAGTAATTAATCCAAGACTGGAATTGTACTTGAAATGCTTATGACAGAATTCTAAGAACTCAAAAGTGGAAAACAAAAAAACTAAACTTTCCCAAAGCAATACACTTCCCCAAGGTCCCCAGGGTAGCAACAGGGCTCAGAGCGTGGGCAAACCAAAGGTGCGGAGCATCTGAAGCTTCTGTGAGTCCTTTAGCGAATCACAGAAGTGCCAAACCGTACTTGATGCAGGATATTTTTAGAGCCAGAGCTGAGAGCATGTTAGCCAAGACTGATTGGGCTTTCCTCACCAAAAAAGGAAGTGTTATTCCACGACTAGCGTCATGGAGTTACCTCTGCACATTGGCCTTCAAGTGGAGCCTGGGCATCCAGAGAGAATTTAGGGCTCAGGATCGCAAACTGCTGTCTTCTGGCAGACACAGGGCGACTGAATGAGCCACAAAAGGGCTCTGGCTTACATTGCAGACAGCTATGAAAAGACCAGCTTTTCAGCTGTCCCCACACAGTTTGAAATATCCAATGTCCCCTCAAAATTTAGCTCCCCACCCCCCCCTTTTTTTTTTACATTGATTACATTCTTCAATGATAACATTCTTCAAGTTGTACAATCATTCTCACCCTCCTGAGTTGTTCCTCCCTCATTAACAAAACTTCACTGCCCCTAAAGTTTTATTTTCAATCTTCCAAATTGTTGTTGTCAATTTAATCCCATATGGATAGATCTTAAAAGAGCATAATGTTCAAGCCATGCATTTTTTACTAGTTAAGCTAACCTATTGTTTGGTTTTAAGAAGACTTCAAAGGATATTTTTAGTTTAAGGTTTAATGATTATTTTAAGGCAATAGTTTCCGGAGTTCATTCAGAAATTCTGGAGTCCATGAAAATTTGAAATTCAGTTCTGCATTTCCCCCCTTTTGATCAGGATTCTGCAATCAAATTTTTGATCAGAATGTTCAGTAGTGGTACACTTAGCTCTTTTTCAGATTGTAGTGGGAAAGTGGACTTAGGTTTTTCCTGTTTTGCTTGCAATGTGTAAGAGAAGGAGATTTTCAAAGACGCTGGGTTGTGCTCCACCTTTGTTTCTGCTTATAGGTTCGTTAGCCTGAGAGTCCAATTCTATGCATGGATTTCACCCCCACCCTGAGACTGCTCACTTAGGAAGTCTTCCTCAGCACCTCTTCCTCCTTCATGCTCCAACAGAATTGGTGGCTTATGGAAAAGGAGAGACCCTAGGTGAAACTGAAAGGCAGAGGGGGCTGAGAACAGGAAGAAGAGCCATACTACCTCCCAGCCTCAGTAAGGAAGGGTGGGCTGGCAGAAACCTCTCCCACCTCAGCTTTGCATCCTCCTCATGGGTTCCTCAAAATGCAGCACACCTGTTCTGTACAATTGTGTTGGCTGCCGGACGTAAGAGATGGACTGATATATACTCATTTGACATTTTGGGCAATATTCTGAAAATGGATGAGCTGAATTGATCTAGCAAGTGTTTATTGTTGAAGTAGACTTGGATCTTCAAACTTCTTTACAATATTAGTGATAGTTTCTGAGTTAGGTAAGCATTTTAAAGCTGTTTGGTGGTAAAGAGAGAAGCTTAATTTCTGAGATTGGAAATAGGATCATCCCTTTCCCTTCTAGGAGGCACTGTTATTAAGCTCATTGAAAGTGGCAGAGAAGCAGGCAGTCTGAGTGGATGTTTATCACTCAAGCGCAATACTTTGGCATTAGTCCAACTCACTGCTACTCTGGCCTCACCCGTTTTGGATTTTCTCTTTATGCATTTGAAATGCTGTCTGGGAACGCATTAGAACTCTTTTTCTTCTGAGGATTGAGGCTTCCAGGAGGCTGCTGAAGTCGACTTCATCTGCTTCTCTCTCAGCTAGCTGAGTTCCTAACAGAAGGCCCATGTTTGTTTCCAAGGGTGAAATCGTCATCCTCCTTCTGGGAGCATAGGGAGGGACCCCACAGGTTCCAGTCTTTGGGCCCTTCTCTCCCTTTGGCACAGTGAGAAAGTGAATACAAAGGACCAGGCAGAGAAACCTGCTGGGAGAGTCTGGAGACTTTTCAGGAATTTAAAACAAGTACCTTGGAGCATTCTGTTATTTTTGGAAAGTTCAAATATACAGGAACATGGAGATTGTTGACAGTACAGGAAGGATATAAACAGGTATTCTTTAAAAAAAAAAAAAAAGTTTAAAATATTAAATTATCAGGGACTGGACTCAAGGAAAGAAAAATATTCCTTAGAGTGAAGTTTCCAAAATCTCTTTTTAAAGGTTTACATACACACACACTCTCTCTCTCACACATATACACATGATCATAAAAGAAAAATGAAGTATCTTAAAGAACTCATGATAGTTATCAATTAAAATCAGTTTTTCTACATCTCAGAGATAGTGTAGATTCTGGGGGACACACTTTTATAACAAAAAACATTTTAAAGGTAGCAAGAAAAGGTGGTAGTTTGGAGCATGGTTCACTAGTTGTGAACCATACTAGTCTTGCCTAGTGTTGGGATAAAGGTTGTATCTATTTCAAGTTAACATCATTAATGTCCTACAATTCCGAACACCTTAACAGTCCATGGTGGAGAGTAGCTTTGGATCCACAATTCTTGTTTCCTCATTGTTGACATTTATTTAACATTTATAAACATTTACTTTTTGCAACTGACTGTGTCTGCAGTGTTTGTGTTAGGAATCTAGCTTTTATAATGTTAACTTTTCAAACCCAGGTATTCTTGCTTTGGGATTCTTTTTTTTTTTTTTAATTCAGAAAATGGAATGTAGTTTATTAGAGGTGTGTAGTTTGCATGTTTTTGGTTGTTTCTGGTTTTCATTGCCTGGGTGAACTGTGCTTTTTAGCAAAATAAAAACAAAATAAGAATATTCAAATACAGATTTTTTTCTGTGTAGTTATTTTTATATGACATGCCAAGTAGGTTACTTTTGTTGTTCGGTGCTGTTAAGATGATTCCAACTCCTAGCGACCCTATAGAGTGTTATCAAGGAGCAGCTGGTGGGTTTGAATCATTGATCTTGTAGTGAGTAGTACAGTGCTTACCCTACAGCACTACACCAGAACTCCAGGTTACTTTTGCTTGGCTATAAATAAAAGTTTGAGGCAAAACAAAATGTTCTCTCTAGAAGAAAAACAACTCACTTGCTCTCAAGGCTATAAACTCTACAGCAAATCAATTGCTTTGAAAAACAGATGAGGATAAAGTGAATAATCTCCATGTTGTGTATGCAAGGTAAATTAACAGGTAAGGATAAACTGAACAGAAGAAAGATGAAGCTTTCTGCTCCAGAAAAAGATTTAAAGCCTTGGAGACCTTGTTCAGAAACCCTATACAAGGGTCATTAAGAGTCAGAACCAACTCCATGGCACTTAACAAAAACAGTAACTGAAGACCAAATCTTGCCTTGTATTTTTGAAAAGATTTCTTTATTTAGATGCATGATTACCAAAGGGGCCCTGGTTAAATGATGAGATGTGAACCAAAAGATCAGTGGTTCAAACCATCAGCCCCTCCGCAGAAAAAGATGTGGGAGTCTGCTTCTGTAGAGATTACAGCCTTGGAAAACTCATGAAGCAGTTAGTTGTCCTTTGTCCTATAGGGTCTCTGTGAGTTGGAATTGACTTGATAGCAACAAATTTATGGTGATTAAATATTTCATATTTACTTATTTTCATTCTGCTCTAAAAGGCTTAATTTCTAGAAAAGTTGCCATATTTCCTCCTATATCTTTACCAAAATCAGATAGATCTGGGCTGAAAGCACAGAATACAAGATGTTTGCTGTGCTTTACAAGGCATTCAACTACGTGGATCATAACAAACCATGGATAACATTGGAAAGAATGGATATTCCATTCCAAGAGCACAAGTTGTGCTCTTGTGTAACTTGTAATATACACTAAGAGGCAGTCATTTAAACAGAAGGGGACACCGAATGATTTAAAATCAGGAACAGTGTGCATCAGTGTAGTATCCTTTCATCGTACTTATTCAGTCTGTATGCTAAGCAAAGAATCTGAGAAACTGACATATAAAAGAAGAACATGGTATCAGGATTGGAGGAAGGCTCATTAACAGTATGAGAAAAAAAAGATGACACAACCTCGTTTACTGGAAGAGAAGAGCACTTAAAGTACTGATGAAGATCAAAGAGCACAGCCTTCAGTATGGATTGCACCTCAATGTAAAGAAAATAAAAATCCTGACAACTAGACTAATAAATGAAGAAAAGAGTGAAATGGTCAAAGGCTTCATTATGCTTGGACCCACAATCAGCACTCATTGAAGCAGCACTCAAGAAATTAAATGACATATTGCATTAGGCAAATCGGCTTCACAAGACCTTTTTAAATAGTTCAGTAACAAGATGATACTTTGAGGACTAAGGTGTGCCTGAGCCAAGCCCTGTTGTTTTCAATGGCCTTGTATGCATGTGCAAGTTGGACAATGAATAAGGAAGACCACTGGAGAATCAATACATTTTAAGCATGGTGTTGGCAAAGAATGCTGAAAGCACCATTGAATGCTCCTGAGAAGTGAAGATGGTAAGACTTCCTCTCATACTTTGGACACTTAACAAAATATTACTTCTCCCTGTACCCCAGTTTTCAAATAGATTTTATTTTTAGAGTCATTTTTGGTTTCTGGAATAATTGTAGAAAGTGGAGATTTCCTATATGCTCTTCTCCCTGTACAACTATTTCCTTAATATTAGCGGAGAAAAGATTGAAGTTGCCGAAGACTTCATTTTGTTTGGATCCACTATC